ACAGCCAGCTGGACACATGCAGCACTGCAGGAGACCCAGACCAGAGCTACCATGTGCACAGGGTGCTGCCCACCTGCCCCAGCCCCTCCAGGGCCCCTACCTGCAGCCATAGCTGGGGGCAGACGGAGAGCAGCTGGGGACTGCAGCCACTGCTGAGACCAAACCAGCCCTGGGAAGGGCAGCAATACCTACGTCCTTTTAGCACTAATGGGATTCAGTAAAGTCCCAGCAGGACCCAGGTGCTTCCATCACAGCCCCAGCAGCATCACCACTCCCCTACCCCACACCTGTGTGGCAGTGCCTCCTCCTGCTGTGCCCAATAAGAAACGCTCTCCCTTGTGGAGCCAGAGGTAGGAGCAGCAGCTCTCAGAAGTTGTTTAATATAATGAGATTCATTACAGTTTGATCGATTTCCTGTTCATAAATATTTGCAGAAGCTTTTTATCTTCTTTCTAAGAGTTGCATCTTTTTCCCCAAGTGCTCAGAAAGGCACCAGAGGATGGAACTGGGGCAGCGGGGCTGGGACAGTACCTGTGGCTCTCCCTGACCCTTAGGAGGTGCCCATGAGACAGCTGACAGCAGGCAGTGGCAGGTGGGGATGTGGCACTGCTCCCATGGGGTGCCTGCCTGCCGGCTGCTGGTAGCACTGCAGGAAGGAGCCCAGCGCCACCCAGCAATGGATCAGGAAGTGTTCGTTCAGCTTTTAGAAAGGAATAACAGCATTTAAAAAAGCCTTCTTCTATAAAGTACACTGTGTCCAACGTCCTGTTTTTGTAAGGCTACACCATAATCGAACTGACTCATCTCATGGCATTACACCACAGCTTGATCTAATTTTCCTAATATTTCCCCCCCATCTGTTCCATCATTGCAGGACAAATTGTCACCCTGTGAGTGAAGGACAGAATGAAATGCAGTAGCTGGGGATCGTTTAACTTATGCTTAAAGTTCATCCTGCTCCAGGCAGCACCTCATGGAGCAGCCAAGACCCACACAGCGGTACCACAACTGTGCCCAGAGCCAGACTGGCACCTGGGGGCCCTCCAACACCAAAAGGTTCCTCTCCACAGCCAAGGCAGAACCACCAGAGGGAATCATAGAATCATTAATGTTGGAAAAGACCTCTCGGATCCCCAAGCCCAAACCCAGTGCACCCCACCGTGCCCACTGATCCAGTGCCACATCTCCACTGCTCATGGACACCTTCAGGACGGCGATTCTCCACTCCATGGATAGCTGTGCCAGCTCTGACCGCTCTTTTGGAGGAGAAATTTCCAGAGCCCATCCTGCTGCTGGCTCCATGCAGTGGGAGCAGGGAGGCCACACGTGGTTGTGCATCCCTGCCTCCAAAGGGGGGGAATGGATTTGTCCTTTCACTTCTCTTTAATTCTTGAAGGGAGCGATTTCTCCCTGCTCTGTGCCCATCACCTCGTGCTGCCCACCACTGTGCCCATTCCCTTGGTGGGGGCAGTGGAAGCTCTCTGTGAGCTCACAGCTCCACGTGTCTCATGGCAACGGGAATGGGCAAAGATTGCCCGCGGCCACAGAAGGTTAAAAGCTTTTCCATTAGCAACTTTGTTGGATGCTTTTTGTGAAAAGATAAAGCACCATGAGAAAATAAAGGCTTGTCATTTACCTCTGCAAATAGTTCAGGACTGATAATGAGAATGAATCAATCAAGGCAGATTAATCGTATTGCAAGGCCTTCCGAGTGGGGTGAGTGGAAAAAGCACAATAAGCCCTGGCATTGCAATGGCTGCTCTGCATTTTGCAAGAGGATTGGCAAAGGGAACCCAGCCTGCTTTGGCTGAAAACTCCGATGATTAAAATGAACAAGAACCAAAGCACAAGTGAGTGAGAAATGGTGTGGAGGAACTCTACAGAGGAACTGGAGAACACACTGTTGAGACAGGAGCTCTGCGCTCAGAGCCTGCGTATCACCAGCACAGAGCACACAGAAGAGGTGGAAGTGGATGACGTGGGCAGAAGCAAGGAAAGGTGCGCAGCTGGGCTGAGCCGTGCCTGCTGCACAGAGCGTGCTGCTGCACATCTTTGGTGTGGGGGGAACGCACATCCAAGGGCGAGCTGAAATTTCTGCACAGGGCAGAACCAGCAACTGACATTGGGCGCATTTGTGTTTCGTACTCCTGGTATCTGACAGATATCAAAAACCAGGGCATCCACTCTCCCTTCCCACCAAGAGATGCCAGTGACCTGTGATTACAGAGCTGTCCCTCCAAATGTCAGAAACGTCCACAGCACATCCTGTTTACATGGCAGCACCACATGTGAGTCTTTTCAAGGTGGCATTCAGAACCACGTCCTCCTCTCAGGGCAGTGCCCTTCGCACCAGGTGCTCCCTGCGTGCCATGGGAGCAAATGCCATCGTTTGTTCTTTGCAGGGACTGAATCGCATGCCTTTTTTATCTCCTTCTAAACACTAAAACATAATGGAACTTGGTTTTTTTGAAGACAATTCTGTCTACTGTGCATTCAGCACTTCTGAAACTTGTTTCCCAAAGAGTACAGAAGATTGGTGCCAGGCTGCAGAGTCCATTTTCATTTGGGCACTTTGTTTTCTCAGCTAATGCAAAATACAGCGTAATGGCACTAGATGGATTTGCAGCGTTCTGTGCTTAATTGGTCTCTTGTCTGCATGCTGCTTCCCTGTGTCTGCTGCTCTCGGCTCCGAGCCAAGCCAGGTCTTCAGGGCTGCAGGAAGGCAAGCACTTGTTCATAGGGAAAACAAACCAACCAACCAACCTCTCCTACAGTTTGGCACCATGACTTTGGTGGGGATGTGCCAGGTGCTGAATGCACCCCAAAGGACACTGAGCACAAAGGATGTTGGTGCTCCCCAGTGGGTGCTGGGTACTCCCCACAGCCTCTCTTGGCACTGAGCTCCCATCCCCAGGCTCAGCTCTGCCCGCGCTGAGGGAATTGCACACACAGCTCCCAGGGGCCCTTGGCTGCTCTGGCGGATAGCAAAGCAGCTAAGTGCTCTAAATCTTGCCACTCCTACGGAAACATTGCTGTCATTAGTGAGACAAACATGAAACGGAAATCACAAAATGAGAAATAAACAGCAAAAAATAATAACGTGCTTGATAGCTGGGAACGGGCAGTTTAAAAGCAGCAGGGATAGAGCAGCACAGCTTAACTAACGGCTTACTCAGGGCTGCCAGCTCAGGAGGGAGCACAGACACAGCACTGCGAGCTGCACCGAGATGTGGGGCTGCAGGCAGGAGGGCTGAGGGGTCCCTACAGAAGTGGGGCTGCACCTGTGAGCCACCTCATAGCAGCAGCAGGGCCCCCAGCTCGTCCCATCTCAGCCCCACACACAGCACCAGGGCTGGCAGCTGGAACACACCGTGGGTTTTGTTTCTAAAAACAAATCAAAGCTACCGATCAAACTCTGACACCGGCAGTGTTGCAATTAAATATCTACAGCAGAAACCTGTTCCTAGTGAAATTATTTTCCTCCGCCAACTGTTCAATTTCCCCATGTAACAAAATGTGTCATCTTTCTGGATACGCCGGGCTGTGCATATGTCACAGCACGGAAGGGTTGGAAAATTTGGTGGCTTTCTGCAGCACTCACACAGCCTCCCACAGGCCACAGCCAGCAGCCACAGTGCAGTACGTGGGCACTTGTGTGTGGCTGCAGCAAACAGGGCTGAACACAGGGCCTTGGCCATGGAAAGAGGCAGGAGGCAGCTGGCAAGGATGGAGGCAGAACATTTTTCTTCTGTGTTTCTTTCCATACTTGTTCCATTCATGGTCAGGCAGCCCATCGCCTTCCCTGGTGAGCTGCAAGTTCTTGTGCCCCATCTCTGCTCAGCTCAGCTGCACAGAGCTCATGGGGCTCCTGACATGAGTGCTGATGAACACAGCACTGTGGGACCACCTCACCACCCCCATAGAGTTAATGCTCCCTGAGGTTCTCAGAAAGGAGCCGTGCCAGGCTCACCGAGCACAGCAGAACCTCAGAATACAGCAGGCGACACGTGAGAAACTGGACAGACACAGCAGGGTCAGCAATATTCTGTAAACGGAGAACTAAACTCCAGCTGCCACTCAGCACACAGCACCCATCCTCCAGTGATCAGAGCTGGTATCAGAGAAGGTGACTTTCTGATGGAAATGTTCATAGATCAGCTGTAATACAGTAATTAAGGGAATCAAATACTGATTTTCTCAACTTCTGAGTTCATCATGTCGGCTCTGTGCCCACCATTCCCTGCACGTGGCTTCAGTGAGTGCAGCATTTGGCCACAGTGAGGTCTGGGAGGACCCCCAGGCTCAGGAGCCACTGCTCCCAGGGAAGGCACAGGTGGGAACTCCTGGGGACAGACAGGATGCTAGTGGGTCAGTGTGGCCACACACAGCTCCTGCTTCCAGGCTGGAGGGAGAACACAGCTGCTTACTGTGCTCATCCCAAAAGCCAGAGCAGCGCAGGAATAAAGCTATTAGTCCTAAAATCATACAAGCAATTGGAATAGAAGTCATTTGATGGCTTCTTTGGGTGTTCAAAGCAGTAACTGAAGAAGAATCAACATGTTAATGAACGTATTTAGTCTTGGCCATTACATTTCATTAATATTTGGCGTTTGGCACTCAGACTCCAAACTCACAGCAGTCAGATAACACCAACCATGCAGCACTCCAGGCAGTTCTGTTCCTGGCTCACTGGGATGGTTTACACCACAGCTCTCCCATCCCCAGCGCAGTGCAGCAGCTGCAGGGAAGCACCAGAGCAGGTCTGTGCTCCTCTGAGCTTCGCACCGAAGGTTTGAAGTGATACCATAGTGTTACACGTGTCACAGGAGGAGGACACGCAAAGGAGATGCTCTGTGTTGGGCACTCCTGCACCCTGCTGATCCCCCGCAGCCTTCTGCCTCTGCTCAGACACAACAAGAGAAACATTTCCTGAAAGAATTCAGATGCACGCAATTTGAAACTTGTACCGAGGCACATCTTTACAGTTGGGTATAATTACACTGGCGGGAGCACGGTAACCAAACACCGCCATCAGGGCTGTAATAACGAGCAGTGCTGACACAGGCAGGAAGCGGCAGCCCCACTGTGCTGCTGAGGTCGAGCTTTGTTTTGGGGCAGTGAAGTCCATCTCAGAGCAGTGCATGGGCTGTGCTTGTGCCTCCGAGAAAGACAGCAATGGGCTGGAGAGGCTCGGGGCTCCTCATGGCAGCGAGGGCTGTTTGTGCAGCAGGGCTCCGCGTTCCCTGATCGAATGCGGTCCCTAGGGATGGTGCACCAAATTCACAAGGAGATGCCATTCCCAAGCTTACATTTTTTCTCTGTGATTTCACAATCAGTGTTCCAGTCTACAGTCGTCTCTTTTTTCCCCCCCACCTCCACACATGGAATTCTCTCCCCTCAGTAAAATGGTACCAATGAAGATCAGATAACAGCCATGGAGTCGCGATGGCAATGAAGATATTCTGTTCCCAGGAAACAATGCAGGTTCTTTTTCTCCTGCAAAGCAGAGAACATAGGCTTATAATAACGTTTATTAGGAGGTAACCGACAGCCGTTTGCTCTTGTTCTGAAAGTACTCAGAGCTGAGCAAACCTTCCCTCTATGGGCAGACCCTGAAGATGTTGTTTTCCAGCAGGAAACCTTCAGATAGAAACAACTTCTTTCTTAAGATTACCACACTGTGATGTATTAAGTGAGAGAACAAAAGACAGGACACAGAAGTTGACGCACTGCCCAGAAACTCAGAGATATTATTAAGCTTAACGTTGCAGCAGACAGTTATTTTTCTTGAAAGCATCCCGCTTTTATGGAGCTATTTCTAAAGGACAACAAGCTGTGTTATTTGTACAACTGCAAAAAGCACAACGTGCAACGGGCATCACAGATCTGAGCAGTTTTCCTCACCTGTAGAAGGATGCTGCATTTACAACAGCTCACAGGAGCACCTCAACAAGCTGCTCCTGAAAAAGCCTCTCCGTCATGTTAATACCCTGAACAAAAGCACAGATAAATGGCAACTTTACACACAGCTTCAGTACCTCACACATCAGAAAGAGGAGCCCCACAGTACACAGTAACACCCTAGAGAAAAAAAGCATTTTTTGATCCCATATTTACTCTCTGCAGGTTCCCTGCTGCCTGCATGGCACCAAACACCACTGACTTCTCAGAGAGGAACCGGAGAGGACAGAGGACTCTTTGCAGCTCCCACGCTGTTCCGAGGTGCTGTGATCCCGCAGCAAATCAGTTATGTCACACACTGTGTTCCAGTTCTGCCCCTGCTCCTTGCTTCTCAATGCACTCCTCCTTAGAAGGGAAACGCCATCGCTTGTATTCTTTGCAAGTGGTTGGGTCTGCAGTGATTGAAGTTCTACACATCAGTAACTCTATAATGTAGGAAAACAATACTGAACAAAGTCACAGACACCATCAGAGGACCACAGGGTGAGCATTTCCTCTCAAGAACGGATCTGTGAAGGGAAAAGGAACCGTGAGACAATAAACTGTTAGTAAGGCACCATTTGGGTTGTTGGTTTGTTGGGGTGCAGGGCAGTTCAGCCCCAGGTGCTTCCCACCACCTCCATTTGGATGCACTGAGCTGCTTCCCTCAGGATGGGAAGCTTTGCTGTTTTGTTTGTTAAGTGCTCTTCCGTGCCAGGGCTGGATGTGGTGTTTTGCAGCAAGGCTCTCCTCAGTTTTGATTTGGATTCAAGTGCAAGCTTCAGTAGTGCAAAACAAGCAGCTCTGCATTTGTTGTACAAGCAGAAGAAAGAAAACATGGTCACCGTGTAGAAGAAAACCTAAAGCACCCCTCCTCGCCCACGCCTTCGCTCTGCACACTGAATAGCACCCCTTTGCCAGCTCTGCTGCTCCACTTTGCTCCGATGTTGCAGACATAAGGTTATCTGCAACTGAGATGGGCGAAGGCTTAACCCGGGCTGTTCTCTGCTGCAGCAAAAGAAAAAGAACGTCTCAGCTGGGGCCATTCAGAGAAAAAAGAAAACCACAAAACCAAGAAAAAAGGCAATTAGCTTTAACAAATAGGTCAGGAAAGCTTCCTTTCACATGTCCATAACAAATGAACGGGGTATTTTCTATCTACAGCAACCAGTCCATCTCTCACAGCTTCTCCTCGAAGACAACGAGCTGACTGCCTCGGCCCATCCATCTCAAGGAGAGGTGCCACACTTAGCAGAATAAAGCACTAATTGACATAAGCGAGGACGCTGAGGTTCACCCCAGGGGACTTGAAAATGTTGTTTATTGAATCAATTATGTTCACAGTGTGACAGCTGCTTTTTCTTTTATTTCTCCTCAAAGCACTGCAGACTTTTAGGCAGAAAAGTGTTGAGGAAGAAAAGGGGAAGGAGAGGGGAATCCATGTAATGACTAAAAATCCAAATGGGCAGATACGAGTTGTTACCCGGTATCTTTCCAGCAAGCAATGACTAAATCAAAGCCTAATCAATATATTCCTTTCAACTAAAGTTCAAACACTTAAAGCTCAGCCCCAGGAGATCAGGGTTAAAGGAGCCAAATCTGCACTACTTAGAGCACAATGATGCACTCGAAATGCAGAGCAAACTTTGCCTACTTATTACACACCGCACCTCTGTGGCTTCAGCTTAAAAGCTGCTCCATCCCAGAGGTGCTGTGCCTTGTGCCAGGAGCTGCCCTGCCCCGAGCATCCCGCACACTGCTGGGCAGCACTGGGAGCTTCCTCCACTGCAGACCTGCTGGGATTGCATTCAGTGCACACCAGAGCCCAGCTGACAGGACAGAGCACACGGCGTCTGTCGGGCACCCCACAGCTGCACGAACCCTGTAAGGTTTAAATAAGAGGTTAAGAGACACGCAGAAGCACAGTGTTTGAGTTTGATCACCTGCGTTCCCACTGCCAGCACACAGGCAGGGAAGCTGCAGGCACAGCACATACTGCCCTGCTGCCTCCACAGAGAGCGCACAGCTTCCATCCCTCTGGAACCGTGACAAAACATTTCTCAGTTAAACACTGAGATTGGAGCTCGGCTCCATTTAGCAAACACCACATTACAGCCTTCCTTTACTTTCCACCCCATATACATTCAAGCCAAGGGAAAGGAATCTAAAAAAGAAACCAAGAAGTGAAAATGACTGAAATACTGCAACATTTCAGAGACAACGGATAAACCGCACATCTACGTAACAAAGATGCTCTGCTAGAATCGCTCCTTTATCACGCAGCCTTACAATCGCTCCGGCTTTGCCCTTGGAGTGCTTAATGCCAGCAGAGATCTTTGCGACTTCAGAGGGCAGGGAAAGATCCCTGTGAGATGGGGCACTGCGGGGCTGTTATGCATTTAAAGAAATAGAGCTGCCAGAGAATAGATTTGGTGCCAGTAACAAAAAGTGACTAGAAAGATCGTTGTCTTTAACGTCCAAGAACAGTTCCATGAGCAGTTCACCTGTCCCTCTCATCCCACAACATTCAGTATTTAGCATCGCAGTACATGAGCTCAGCTGCACTCACTCATCCAGCTGAAGCTCCCAGCGCTGTCTCCTGCTGCTCTGTCTGCTCCATCCCCTCAGCCCCACACCTCCTGCAGGACACAGCAGTGCTGCTGCTGGGACATGAGGGTGAAGTCTGGGCTTTGCAAGCAGCAGCCTTACTTCTCCCAGCCAGCCAGGGCAGGTGCAAGAGAAGCAAGGGCTGTCCGATTGCACCGTTAGGAAGGATGCAAACCAGGTGCTGGAAGAAGTCAGGCAGGCACAGTGGAAGTGAGGAGAATCCTCACCAAGCTCCGTCACTCACACGAAACTTCTTTTCTACCTCTACATAATACCTGTTTGCATTGCCATTTATTACTTGTGGGCAAAATGTGTCTCTGAAATAAGCTGTGGCCAAGCCGCTACAGAGACCCCATCTAACAGCTTAAAAGAAATGAAATGCATACACACAGCTGTTGCTTACAGGGAGAGCAACTTCAGGGGTAAAACTAAAGCCTGTGCATGTATTCCAGGCACATAGCTCATCTGCATTTTTCTTTTCCAGAGCTCTGCAAACACAGCCAACATTTTTAATGGATTTCTAACACAGCACTGAGCGACTCCGTGGTCAAGTTTCTCCATCTGCTCGCTGTGTGCTGCCTGCAGCCTGCAAGACAGGTTCTGTTACATGCTGTCATTGCTTACAGTAGCAGAGATGCTCACTTTCGCTTTCTTGATTATTTTTTTTTTAATTTAAAGCAAGAGCAAGAAGATTGTACAGCTTTCAAGAATAAGCAGACGAATGAATGGTCATGCTGTGGTTTGAACTCCATTCCCACCTACGGCTCTTGGGGCACAGCTCTCGTGCCAGCAGGATAGAAGGCAGAACGCTGCAAAGGACACATTAAAATGAAAGTAAATAAGTAGAAGAAAACCTTTACAAGAATTCACCACTCGGTGCTCACAAATAATTAGAGTCACACCTGGACTGTGGACTTCAAGTACACCTGACAAACAAATTTCTCCATTAAAGAACTAAGAAAACAACCAATGGGAAGCGTGGGTTTGCTTCAGTTCTGCACACACAGGTTTTCTGAACCCAGCTGTGAAACTGCTGTGTGAAGCAGGCACGGAGAGATGCCTTCACTCATCAGAAACAAGACGAGAGCCGAGGGGGAGGCAAAAAACCCTCATCTACACAGCAATAGAGAGACTTCTCTTGCTCATTCTGACAGCAGCCACAATTTTTTTGTATTTTTAAAGTTGAGGCACATGATGAGCCCCAGCCCCCCCCAGGTCACAGCTGCAGGACTCTGCACATCCCAGTGGCACCGCAAACTGCAGGAGGCACTGCTGCTGCTGCCAGGCTGGCTGTGCACCGCCGCCACAAACCAAAGGCCTCCGAGCCCTGTGCGCCCCACGGCGCTGCTGCAGACGGTGCCCATCCGACCCACGACCCCACTGAGAGACAGAGCTGCAGAGGTGCACAGAACTGCTGCACGAGATGGGCTGCGGCCATTGGAAATGCACTGGGCTGCCAAAACCAGCCAGCACTGCTGGAGAAAAGCAATGGGATATAAATCACGTGGGCTATTTGTGACTATTTCAGTGCAAAGGTGCTATAAAGCTGCAGATTATTATCACAGTATCAGCTCGTGCAATGAGACATTAGAAAGAAGAACTGTTCCGATGCCCGGGGGAAATCAGGAATAAGAATAAATTACAGGAATTGGTACAGACACACACACCATGCTTTAAAAGGTAGTTGAAACAAAGCTATTACCATAATAAAACTAAACCCATTTTTGTTCCGCGTGCTCTCTGTAGAGAAGAGAAAAGGTCAAATATTCTTTCAGCGGTCAGAAGAGAGAAGGAACCCATACTAAAAATACCAAATTTATTTTAAGACTGGACAATGGGATGGTTTGAAAACATTTACAGTGTCATTCCAGGAAGAATTTCAAGGAATGGATGAACCTACCCTCTTCATGTCTTCTATGATGAACTGAGGAAAAGCTCCCAGCACACAGCAAACCTGAGCAGAACTGACGCTCTGCCTTTCTGTGAGGTTACCCTACAAAACAGGAACAGAACACCAAATTCTGTGCTCAGAAGATCTTCATTGTAAACTCTCCTGTAGAAAATCATTGCCTTGAAGTCTCCGTGGCTGCAGGATGGATGTCAGCAGTGAATGTCCAGCACCAAACCCGGCTATACTGGTCAGCATTACTTATTAATTTTGCTGTTTCACCATTCTAGGAGGAAAAAAAAAAAGGAAGGTATTGATCTCTGATTGATTCCTGGGCACACAGCTGGCAGCACTGCATCCTCACAGCACTCACAAAGAGAAGTCTATTAATGAGATCCAACTACTAAATTATTGACCAGTTAAGTACAGCAAATTTGGTCTAATTGTTTTTGTGATGGGAGTTTAATTAAAGTGCCTTTAGTATAAGAAGTCTAGCAGTATCGTTCAGGTGTTGTCAGGGGAGGTTTCAAAATGAAAGCAGCAGCAGCACCCAGCTGGAGCACAGGACAGCCATGCAGTGCCTGAGCAGAGCTGCTGTCCTGCAGGAACCAGCGTGCGCCAGCAGCACCCAGAAGGGAGAACAGTGAAATTAACCAAAGCTGTGACAGCTGAGAAATATCTTCCTCAGTGCAGGTCCCCCTCAGCTCACAACCAGCAGCACAAGGATTCACAGCCCGCGCCACGTTCTGCTCAACCTGCACACTTCCAGCAGTGCTCACACAGGGCACGGCCTCAGCACGGCCGCGTCAGCCCTCGCAGCACTGTGTAACCTGATGCACGAGCTGCCCTGCAGGAGGCTGAAGCTGTTGGCTCAGACACACTGCATGGTTTGGGACTTCTTGCTCTCCTCAACTCACAGTGCCCTGAAGAGCTGCACAGAGCTGCTGCTGAACTCTGCTGGCAGCACTTCATGGGAGAGGAAGCAAGCAGCTCCGTGCACAGGAGGTGTCCCTCTGTACTCAGTTCTCATCTCTTTCGTGGCGCTGTTCTCTCTTCAGGGGCACAATGAACAATTTCCCCACTAATCAGATCACTCGAGTCTCCTCATGGCGAGTTCTCTTATTTCTCTCCAGTGCAAGCATGTTGATATTATGCCTTTTACATAATTCCTGCCTCTATTCAGACATGAACATCACCACAGGCATCCACACAGCTGAAGCCAACCTGTTTCCAATCAGTGCACCTCAAAGCCCCTCTCAGCTGCACAGGCTGGGGGAAGCAGCATGGCAAACATCAAGGACAGCCCCAGACCAGGGCAGCCAGAAGCAGCTGTGGGCTGCTGGAGGAGCGGGGCACAACTCTGCACCAGCAGCACCAGCACCCAAAGCTGATGGGAGGAAACGCCTGCCCCCAGAGCAAATGCTGACTGGGCTCTTGCTCTGCAGGGCTGCATGGCAGGGGATTCCAGCAATCCAAACCAAAATGGCTCATAAACCAGGAGGAGCATATCCTCGAACAGCAGAGTCCCACTACTGGACTTCTAAAAACACCTGAATGAGAAGGACTTGAACTTTGTCAGATTTATCAACCATTCTTGTAGCAGCCACGTGGGCCCTGCTGGACAGCAGTGCCACACTTCCCAGGGAACAGCACAAGGCAGAAGTAGCAACTAATTACAAGACACCAGAGCACAGTAAGAACTAACGGGGTTGACATCAGCAAGAAACAAATCATTTTTAAAGACAGTCTCATATCACATACCTGCTTATTCCACTGCTGCAGGAATTAGGAATTCCACTTTAACCCTGCCAGAAACCTGCATGAAGACATTTCTGTGCTCCTCTCTGCACAAATACCGATGCCTTACTCCCAAGCAAAGTCCCATGGGTCCCATGGCAGTTCACATCTCTGAGGCCCAGCAGGCCAAACATCAGAGAAGGAAAACTGTTTGGGAGTGGGAACGCTCCCTGCCAATGGCTGGCAAGCAGGAGCCAGCTGGTAGTTTTAACTGCTGGCCAAGCATCTGCTGGTGGGCATGAGAGCACAGCAGATGCCCTGGCTGTGCTGGAGCAGCAGGGCAGACTTCTATGACTGCACAACAGCACATGGAAAATTAATTTCCAGCCATTCCTTGTGCTCTGGCCAGAGAGCCTAACCCAGAGCTTGAAGGCAGCAGCAGAAAGCTATGGGACAGCAACCAGCACTGCTTTACATGCAGTCAAGACAAAGCAAAGGAAATCATAACTCATCTCAAGCTCTCAAAAGGCAACAGACAACACTTCCCAGGGAGGGGGAGCACAGCAGGCACTCAGACCCTGCCAGTTTGGGTTTTCCAAGCTCTCCTTGAAGAGGGACATTCTCATTCAGGAATGTGTGCTGTGTCCGTCTGAGATATGTAGCGAGTTTGTTTCTCTGCTGCATACAAAGCCAAGTTTCCTCTTCTCACAAATGGTGAAGGACAGGCAGCCACTGGAGGACACACAGGAGTGAACACCAAGGGACCGTGCCCTGGGTTCCCACATTTCCTACAGCCTGTAAGGGCTCCTCTCACCTCCTGTGCAGGGACTCAGGATGCCACACACAGCTTGCAGCATGCTAAAGGCCCAGTGAGAACTATTTTAATTCCCTCTGAGCTCCACTGCAGAGCAGCTTTTTGTAAGAGATGTAAAATTTCACAAAATGAGATCAACCACAATCAGGCATTAAGCTTTATGACTTACCTGAACTTCTCCAAACGATCATCTTTCTCAGGATTTCAGGAATTACAGCCCTGCATGTCACAACTTCCCTCCAGCAAATAATCCCCACGGACAAATCTGATGATGAAAATACATTACAAGTGTTAAAGAAGCAGATATTAGCATCTTTAAAATAAAAATGGAGACATAATAAGACCTCACAGGCACAGCAGGCGTGCGAGCAGGAATGCTGGCAACAGATTTTTATTGCTTTGAACACAGCCTTGTCCTCTGCTGCTCAGGGGCAGTGGGCAGGCAGGGCAGCAGCACTCACTGAAGCTTTCCCTCATTGCTGCCCACAGCCCCATCCGTGTTCCCCAGCCCATCCCTGGGCAAACACACTGCAATCAGATTTACAGTGCTGTCCCGTCTCATTTATTACGCACTTATTTCTGTGCTGAATTGGACCGACGACAAGAACAAAGCTATCTATTAGGAGACAAATTACAGTTATTTTGCATCTCCAAAAAATGGCCAGCTTTTAGAACCACTTTGTCTTTTAATATTTAATGACCCAGATGAAGAACAGAAACCTCAGGACTGTGCAGAACACGAGGCCAGCTGGCAGGCAGCCTGGGTTAAGGACTTGTCAGGGATAAAAGCATGTTCTCGAGCGGCACTCGGCTGGGTCTGAGAGATGAAAACTTTATGGAGCTCAGCTTTCAGAACTCAAATACATCACATCAGTGATACGAAGCATCTTCACGGAGCAGAGAACAGAAAAGTGTTCTCTAGGATGAGTGCTTTTCTGCCTTCAATAGAGCTGCCACAGCAGCACTGATGCCCTGCTCTCTGTAATCTCAGAGCACTCTCACTGACCTGCTCACAAAGAGCGCAGCCCCGGAATGAAGGGCCCTGCTAAGCTGTAAGACAGAAGACACCCCCAGATGTATGACAAGGAACACACACAAGCACTTGGGTTGAATGGGAGGCAAGTTCTTATTCCACTGCCAATAAGAATCTCATCACTGGTCCAGTATTTGAAAGAAGAGAATTATTTTCAGGGATAGTCATACGGCATTTGATCTCCACAGTGCCATAACTGCTTAACACGTACCCTACAGAGGCATACTACTTTACATGCCAAATATCTCTTGCAAACTCAGCAACTGAAACACAACCCACACAGTATCACCGGGCCTCATGTGACCGCTTCCAACCCCAGCAGATTTATTTCCCATCAGTGCAACTGGGAAACGGCAACACTTCCACTGTTTCTGCAGCCAAAAGATGCTGTAGCAATTGGACAGACCGACATGATGGCAAATGGAGTTTCACCAGAAACGTAATGATTTCACCATGCAAGAAAGGTGCTATAAGGGAAGAAGATTGCTTACCCATATCAGAAGATTCCAGACTCACAGGGGAAAGCCCCACCAAAGAGGGATCTCCAACCAGAGATCCTTCCTTGCTGGCAGTCAGCCCTTAAGTGAGGTCTAAGAGAGGAGCAGCCAGGCTCCATCCCTCCCTGTCACACAGGTAAATTGCTGCAGCTGTGTTGGTGACTGACCTGACCGGGTCCTTTCCCAGGTGCTCCATCAGTGGTGCAGGCCAGGACTCAGCAGTTCCCATGCAGATGGTTATCCATGGGACTGCCTTACCAGGAGAGAAATGCACAGCGCAAACATCACAGTCTCTCATGCAGGAACAGGGAATAGCCCTGCTGCTGAGGGGATGGGGCTGCAAGGACCTTACTTCTTCTGTGGAAAGCAATCAACACTCATCAATAATGAAATATAAAATTTAAAGCATATGAGAATGTATTGAACTCAGTTCTTAAAAGTTACTGTATTGCCTACGACGATAAAAATGCCAGATTGAAGAAATACTGAGCACCAAATAATGACCAACGTTAAATAATACGAAGCTTTAGAAAAGGAGGAGAAGTTGCATTTAAGACCAAATCAATCTGGGTAATGCAGTGACAAAGTGCATTTATGGGAGCTCTAAAATTCCAACACAGCAAAACTTTGGCTTCTGCGCTGACGTTCGGCTCCAGCACAGGCTGCTCCGTGCCCAGCTCTCCTGCCTTCTATTGCTGCAGATCACAGGTTGGCTTTAACAGCACAAGGCTCTCCCGTCCCGTTGCTCGCAGGCTGGAGGCTTCTCCTCCTCGTTCTGCTCTGAAATGGCAGCAGCCGCACAGCTTCATTAGCAGCGCAACGTACACACAGTGATGCCCAATCGCGTGAAACAAAGAGCCATCGACATAAATCTTCCGCTAAATAGCAGGCTCTATTACCCAAGTATTTAAACAGAAATAGACTCAATTTCCCGCACAGCACAGAGAAATAAATGATATTACGAGTCTGCGAGCAGAGTGACGGCCGGGCGCCCCCGGCAGCGCCAGAACCCCGCAGGGAGCACGGCACGGCACGGCCCCGACGTGGTGCCCGCTGCCATCGCTGTCACATCGGACCGCTGCTCCTTTCCCGGCTCCTCGCGTCGTGTGGCCGAGCTCAGGCTCCTAAAGCTTGGGCTCGCACAGAGCCGAGCAGCTCCTGCCGTGCTTAACGTGGGCTCGCAGCCATCCGCGCTCCCCCGGCTCTGCCTGCAGCACTGGGCCGCTCCGTTCCGTTCCGTTCCGTTCCGTCCCGTCCGGCTTCGCTCCGCTTCGCTCCGGGCGCGGTGATGGCGGCGGCCGCTGCGGATGAACGCCGCCCCCTGGCGGCCCCGGGCGGGCAGCGCCGCCTGAGTCCCGCCGACGTTCGTTACCCCTCGGGATGCCGGAGCTGCGCGGCTCGGCTCGGCTCCCCGCAGAGGGCTGCCCGGCCCATCCGCTGCTGAGCAGCTCCACGGAGGGCGGCTGTAGCCGAGAGGTCCCAAAACAAATTCTCGACACTGCACCACAGAGCGACCGTTTTTAAGCCATCGGTACCACAGAAATGACATTTTTTTCAGGAGTTTTTTGAGCCCACTGCACGGATGCAGAACACCACACAGAATTGCAGAACCACTAAGGCTAGAAAAGACCCCTCGGATCACCAAGCACGACCCCAACCCACCCCCAGCACACATACTAACCATGTCCCCAAGTGCCACAGCTCCAGGCTCTCACACACCTCCCCTGCGCTCCAGCACCAGAAGTGGCCGCTCAGGACAGAGCCCCGCACCGGGCCGCCCCGCGGTGCCCGAGCACAGCCACGTTCCGCTGCATCCCATCCTCCACCAGCAAAAACAGACAATTAAAATCGGTAATTTCTGTTCTCATTCGCTCTTCCTGCACATGTATCGATTGCTTTCCACAAGAAACAACAAACAGAATTGATTCCATTACTCATTATGCTGAATCCAGGGAATTAAGACCCCTCATGCCTCTCCTAATGGGAATGTGTGCCATCATTTATCAGAAGCAGCAGTTTTCATCTGCAGCGATGTTTCTTAGAAGTTACTTGGGGGAAATAGCAGGCCTTCTACAGCAGCGCTCTGTTCAGCAGCAGAAAGAAATCACTGCAGGTTACACGTAATGATTTGTATAAAAATGAAATATTTCGAAGCAGAGAAGGGCTGGTTTTACAGCAAAATCAAATGGAGCCCACATAAATCAAACTGACAGCTTCAAAGACTTGCAAAATGTAATAGCGTTTAAATGCATAAATATCCCAGTTCTTTCTTTTTCAACTCCAAGGAAATGAAGTGGTGACACTGCAAAATCAGCTGAACCTCTCCAGGTTCCTTCACGTTGTGACTGTGCTGCAGAGGTGGTGGTTGGGAATAAATGGGAATTTAAAACAATACTCCAGCAGCAGAGGCACAAACGCTGCGGTGCAGGCAGTGCGAGGGGTGCGAGTGGGCAGGAGGGGATGGACGCAGCCCCACGAACTGCCTGTGTGACTTTGTGCTCTGAGAACAGCTGCGCCTCCCTGCAGCACTCCGTGCTTCCACCCACAGAACCCCGGCAGGAAGAACAAGAGCAGGAGAGCTGCAATCAGCTTTAACTGTGGCGTTCTGAGCAACTGTGGCAATCCTCTCTTCAGTCATGCAGAGCTCCTGCTTAAAAGCAAGTGATGCACTTTGCTGGCACATGGAAATGAGGATTATTTTAACCTTTCTGCTCTGCGCCTCTGGCTGTCATAATTAGCCTCACTACTCACCTCCAACTGCCCTTCTTCGGTCCTATAGAAATTTAACACTGAATACGATTTCTGTTTGCGTTTCTATGCCGGCTCATGTGTTCCACAATGAAATAAAGCAGCCCTGCTTCTCCCCGACCTCCAGCTGCCGAGCAGCCAGGAGAGTCGGCAAAGGGCAGCCCCTGCCGTCCCTCCCAAGTTGACTCAAAGGTTTCCAGCTCTGTTTCAGAGCACATCCACAGGCAGCCATAGCGTGGCAGTGTAAGCCGGGCTGTCAGCGGGTGCGAGGCCCGAGCGGGGAGCCACGGCCCAGGACTCCCACAGCAGGACAAAGGCCATGGAGTTTGCTTTTTTTTTTTTTTTTTTTTTTTTTTTTTTTTGGAAAGAGAGAAAGAGAGAAAGAAAACCTTAAAGGTATCTTTGCCACAGCCCTGTTGTAGGGAAATAAAAGAGCAGCTGTAAATGATTAAGAGAAACAGACGATCGATAAAAGATTCCAGACTAAGCACGTGTACCAAAGTTCTGGCATTTCAGCCCATGAGGAAATTCGGATTTTGCCCAGGTAGGGGTTTCACACAGAGGACATCCCGGTTCCCGCCAGGGGCCGCAACGGCGCCGCAGGGACCCTTAGCGAGGAGTTGGGCTCGGCGTCCGACCAGCAGCCCCACATCACCGCCTTTATGTGCCACCCACAGCCCGGCCGTACGGCTGCCGAGAGCAGCGCAATCACCGAGCAGGCAGCGGTGACCTCAGCGACGAGTGCTTGCATCAGCTCTGCCGTAGACATTGAAGGATCAGGCAGCAGCTCCGCCCGCTGCTTTGTTCTCACCGCAGAGCTTTGATGCCGGCCCGCAGGGATCAAACGGCCGCTGCGGGGCTGAGCGCCCCGGTCGCTCTCGGAGCCGCGAGGATTCCTCTGCCCTCACCAAGAGCCGAAGGGCTGCGGTTATTCACACTGCAGATCCCAACGCGATAAATGGAGCGGAACGAGTATCAGCTGCATTTTTGTGCGCTTTGTTTGAAAATTAAATCATTCGTCCCCGCTCAGAAAATCCAGCGGCCCATCAGTGGAAGTCCGAGGGCTAAGAGGGCTTCCAACCATTGAAACAGCTTGGAGAAACCTCGCAGCCATCAGCAAACAGAAAGCTGGCAGCGAGCCGGGCCTGCAGCCTCAGCGCGGCGCAGGTGGGCAGCGCTGAGCTCATCGGTCTCACCGGTACGGCGCAAGTGAACGCAGCCTCGGCTTTGCTCATGAATATGCGGCGCCATGATTTAAGGCTTCGGGGAGAAAAAAAACACACAGCGTGTTTCCCCCATTTGCTTCCAGCTCCCGAATCCCGCGCATTCTGCACCATCAGGGGCAGCCTGCAAAGAGCTCAGCATCACTGCTCCACCTTAACTAATTAGAGTTTACCTTCTGCAGATTACATCATGGGATTAATATTGGGCAACTGGAGTCCTGCTCGCTGCCAGCCCGATCCAGAAAAAGTGCTGAGCAGTGGAGAGGGGAATTTCAGTTCAGCACTTCCTCCTAAGCTGGCTAAAAGCTTTTTTGTTTCTAGTTGAATAATAAATTACTGTAAGTTTCTATGGCTCCTGATTTGGGAAAAGTTTTCAGTTTCCCCCCATAAGCCAAACTTTAAAACAATCGTTGTGTCCATTAAAACAGACGTAAGAATCAGCAAAATCTTCAGGAAAAGTTCGTGACACCACGAGTTCAGAGGTAATTACAGAAGATGGTCTGATGTTAACGTGCTCGGCAAATTAAAGCCCAGGGGAGGCACCGCTCTGTGCTGCCGTGGCGCAGACCCACACCCAGCTGTGCCCATGCTGCTGCCTGCTGCTGCCATAGCAGTGCTGCAGGCACTGCCCACGCTGGGCTCCCGGTGCCAGGTGCAGTCCTGCAGGTCTCAGCCCCCACGTGCAGATCACATCACGTGGCTGTGCATTCGCAGGACGGGGCTCCGACTGAGCAAATGTGTGCAACAGGCAAGAGGAACAGCGTGGAGCAGAGGCGCTGCGTTCGTATTTATGGCGATCTCCCGAATCGTACTGCTCCCATCTTTAAAAAGTCCCCATGAGAGCAGAGCTGCTCGAGGTGAAATAATGCAAAGCTCCCCGCAGCCCCGGGTACAGCGCAGCTCCGTCACGCAGCGCAGACCTGGCAGGGCTGCACGCCGCTCTCGTTGCAGGCTGGGCAGCGCAGAGCCCTGTAGGACTCCTTGAATCTGTTTGCCAGCATTGAAAACTTGCTGCCATGGCACAGCGAGCAAGGAGCACAGCCTGATCCTTTACACTGGGAGCAAGTGTGCTCAGCACCTCTTTCCTGCAACAGAAAGGTCATGAAAAATGCTGTTACTCAGCATCAGACGTGAAAGTCAGTAAATACCTGGGCTGCTTTCAGCTTCTGCAGGGTCCTCCTGTGAGCGAGCCCTGAGCGAGGCTCCAAGCAGAGCATCCCAGCACCCTGCACTGCACACAGCAGGGTGGTTTGGGGCTGGCAAAGCTGCAGTGCTTTGTATTTACCCTGCATGGCAGCATTTGTCTTGTGGGATCAAATTGTGGTCGGATTAATTGGGGTTCTGACCAACAAAGTCTAACCCGTGAGAAAATAAGTGGAAGGCACAATCTCGTTTCAGCTGATATTAAAATTTTAGCCTGGGGAAGTCTCAGCCACACAGCAGCTGTGTTTGGCCTCGTCAGGCTGCAGAAACTCAGTCTGCTCTCAGTGATGGAGGATGGAGCTCCACCACGCTGCTGAATGTCAGTGACCTCCAAAGGAGAACCAAGCAGGAGGCACGAGGGCACTGGAGGCAGAACAACAGCTGAGGGTGCTGGCTGTGCTGCTCAGTCACATCCAAGTGAGAGGAACAAAGCGATGCTCCTAACCCAAATTTAGCTGAAGTGACAGATACTGACAGAGATGGGGATGGACGGGAGCACTGAATGGTTTGACCAGAACCAGGAAACAAAAACACTTCCTGTTTTCTCTTACCTGCACGTACTGGCTGCAGACAGCCTTCTTTTCCACATCCTTTTTATGTCCAGCACCAATTCTTTCTCTCCTCTCCCTGTACACAAAGGCCCAGTCGCTCACCCCCTCTGTCTGGATGATCCTTCTCATGAGCTCTCTCTGGTCCATTGGCGCACGGATGATTTTCAGGTTGTTGGTGTAGATGATGATCTGACCAAAGTCGATAACTGGGGAAGCCTGCAAGAGGATCTTATCAGTTTCCCACCTGTATAATATATGCTCTGCAAACACGTTTTGGATGGGGAAAGCTTCCCAGGATGGAAATTCTCATTTC